CCCGAGGGCACTATTGTAGGCAATCTAACCGCCATCGATGAAGATTTGGACGAAAACGCACTCATCGATTATGCGATAATCGAAGGCAATAACGAGAATGTATTCACCATCGAACGCAACAGCGAGAATTTGGCTGTAATTAAGACCACGAAACCCATCGATAGGGAATCCGTGGACTCATACACTTTAACGCTGAAATGCTTGAAGCATGGCGAACCCAGTTTTGCATACCAGGGCGACGAATACGAACATAACGATCTCTCGCTCATGCAAGTAACGATCAAGCTGATCGACATAGACGATAATTTGCCGCAATTTCGACATCAGGATGCCTCAATTGGTATACGCATTAATGTGCCTATCGACACCGTTATAACAACGGTGCAAGCGAGCGATCGCGATGCCGAAGCGCCGCCTATAATTTACAGCATTGACAATGTGACCTTTGTGCCACAATTCTACAAGCGCACGCGTAAAATCGACTCTAGACCGCTGAAGAATCTCTTTACACTCAACAATCGTACGGGCGAGCTGCGTACCGGCGGCTCTTTTGCGGACTATGTTGATGGGTATTTCCAGATGCGTATACGCGCCAACAATTCGGAGCGCATGAAACGTCACACATTCGATAATTTGAAGATTTTCGTAATACGCGATAAATCTTTGTTAAAATTTGTTTTCGCACGTCCACCAGGCGAAATACAAGGCATCATACGACCATTCCAAGAGAAGCTGCAGCAGAAATTGAAGCCGCTCGGCTTGGAGCTGCACATACTCGATACGCAAGTGCTGACACGTGCCGACTACACGCTGGACTTTACAGCGACTAGCTCGTGCTTCCAGATGTTCAAGAATGGCGTGGCGATATCTTTGCAAGAAATGCAAAAACTAATGCATTCCGAGCAAATGAAGCAGGAATTGTTCGATGTGTATGTGGAGTATGGCGTGAGTGAGGTGGAATTGTGTTCGGTGCGAAAATTACCAGCGGCGGCGAGCTTGATGACCTCAGCCGGCACTTGGCTGGTCATATTGGCGGCGTTCATAGGGCTGGCAGCCATTGTGGCGGCGTGTACCGCATGCTGTCTGAAGAAGAAGTAAGTTGGGGAGAGAAGAAGAAGAAAATCTTAACTGTTGTTCAGTTTATTATCAGCCCAATTCTTAATACTCCCGGGGAGTTTGTTCTCCGAGAATTTGTTTCACCCGAGAAATAAATCCTCCAATAATTAACTCCCAGGGAGTAAAATTTTACCCGAAAATTTGAGAGGATGAAATTCGAACTTCGAAAGAGCTGTTTGACACTTTTTTGACAGCTTAACTCCGACATTTAATCAAAAAAAATCCTCATTCATGATAGGAGGAAAGGGAAAAGAGAGAAAACTCCCCGGGAGGGAGCGGGGAAAGACAAATGGAAAGTCAAAGATATAGACAAAGAAAAAGATAATGCAAACGACAGGGATAAGGACAAAGGCAAAGGCTTAGTCAAAGACAAATACAAAAATACAGACAAAGATTAAGTTTGAGATTAGGTGGAAGATGAAGATGAAGGTGGATATGATTATGAAGAAGATAAAGCTAAAAGATGAAAATAAAGTTTGAGTTAGAGACGAGGATGAAAGTGAAAATGAAGATAAAAATGAAGACTGAAGATAGATATGAAGATTTAGATTATGGTTAAGATTAATAAGGCAATTTTGGCTAAGCTATTTGAAAGTCTTTGGTAATAGAATTGAAAAACAGTAGGTAAGAAAGTCATACAAATAAAAGCTCCAAGTGAGCAATGATGAAAAGCTCAATTGACAGAAAGCACCCACGTCAACCGATTTCGATAATTCTTTTTGCATCGGAAATGTAGTGTCTCAGAGGTGGTCCCATACTAATCTGGTTGAGATCCGATCAGTGGATCATGAGATATATATATATATATTTTTTTTTTTATATGGGAGTTGAAGTCGGTTTTTTTTTTTGCTAAAAAGTACTAGTTTTTAGATTTAATTTTTAGATTTAATTATTTTAAAAAGAAAAATTTTTACATACATATATAGCTTTTTTATTTTATTTAATTTTTAGAAACTTATTTTATTAACTGACTTCACAAGAAGGAGAAGGTTATCAATTCGTCGGAATATTTTTTTTTGTATTTTTTATTTTTATGTTTGTTACCCCATAACTTTGGACCACGTTAACCGATTTCTATAGGCCTTTTTTGAAAGGAAAGGTGATACCTCACAGGTGGTCCCTTATCAATTTTGATTCAAATCCGATCATTGGATCATAAAGAAATTAACGAAATCCTGAAATTGTATATGAAAATTGAAGTCGGTTTTGTTTTTTGCTTAAAAATTACTTGTTTTTTATGTTTTCATTTTTTAATTAAGTTCTAGGATTTTATTTGTTTTTTAAAGAAAAATATATATTTTTTTATTATAATTTTAGAAAATTATTATTTTTTAATTACTTTTCTAACTCTTTTGATTTGAAAAGAATTTTTTCTGTAATATCACTTAATTTTTAGGAATTTAATTTAAGTAATTTTTTTCTTTTTTAATTCAATTTCCTTTTGATTTTAGAATTATACATTTTATATAACTTTTAAAAGAAAAATATCTCTTTAAAGTTTAATTTTATTTTTAGGAACTTATTTTATTTAAAAATATTTTTTTTAATTTTTCGTTTTTAATATTTTAAAAAGAGCGCTATATTTTTTATTTCATTTAATTTTTGATTGCTAAAATACAAACAGAATAACGTTAAGGCCCTAAGCCAGGTAAATTTAGTTTATTTGATTTTATTTTGCTTACAGTTTTTTTTTTCTTTTTTTGAGTTTATTAAACAATTAACTCATAATTTTTTTTTTGATTTTTTTCAGATACAAAAAGCACTCCAAGCGCAGCTTGCAAGCATCACGCGCACCCACCGAGCCCTATACGGTGGGTATGGGTGTGCCAACACTCTACTATTCGGAACCCATCTACGGTCAATTGTCATAGCAACCAATTATTTGGTCTAATTTAGGAAAATATTGATTACCAAATTAGCGTATAAATACAAAACTCTTATGGAATAGTTTTTAAAGACATATATATAGTTTATACACAGATACATATGTATATGTATGTATATTTTTACTTATAAAGCAACTAAGTCTTTTAAGTCGCTAAATAATCATATGGTTAGTAACCAAGACTGCGCATATTATTTAATTAATGAACTAAGTCGAATGGTTAAAATTAATAATATGCCTGTGATTCAATATTTGTGTAATATTACATATTTTAAATTTATGGCTCATCTGCTAAATAGTCTGTATGTATTAGTGTGGAATATGCCATTTTTTAATTAAATTTCTGTAAAAAAATATAAAAAAAACGATATTCAAAATGTAAATAAGTACCATTAGTTAATTTAGTGAGGAAATAAAAGTTTAGATTTTAAATGAGAATTCATTTCTTTATTTATTTAGGTAGGGAGCTAATGGGTTGGTGTTCACTGTACAGACATAAAACTTCAGTGGAGGGATTTGGCATTTTTCTTGTTTACATAAAGTTCCGCCAGGCTGGTTCAATATAATTCTAAATTGAGCACATACGCACGGTGGGCAGGAAGCAAAGATAGGTTGCATAAAAATGTCGAC